GAAATACCTAGCCAGGGAAAGTCTAAGAATTTCAGCCTAAACCAATGCGAGTGAGATTCCTACTCCCTTCCCACGTATAATTGACCCATCGAAACAACACGGCGAAGAAGGCGTGGCAGAAGGGAAGAACAAAGAGTAGGAGGACTGGGAAGGCGGCGAGAGGGGAAGGGAAGAGTAAGAGGAGAAATAGGAAGAATGGGGAAGGAGAGAAGTGAGGGGAGACAGATAAGAAGAAAGGGAGGAATAGGGGTAAAGGGAGACAGAGAGGAAAAGAGGAAAAGAGGAAAAAAAACGAAGTGGGGGAGACATAAAGGAAGAAAACGTGGAACGGGGAAGTGAAAGAAAATTCGGGAAGGGGAAGATGAGAGAAAATACGGAAAGGGAGAGATAATGAGACAAATCAGGAGAGAGAGGTAAAGAGAAAATTCGGAAGGATGTAGTTAAGAGAAAATTCGGGAGGGGGGGGAGCAAGAGAAAATCCAGGAGAGGGGGGTTGACAGGACACCAATTACCTGTCGCCTTGACCTAACTCTCCGTTCTGGACACTTGGGCGGTGGGCCGAGGCGTCACGGGAGAGCGCCCCGTTTCGCTTCTGCGGTGCGGCGGCGACGGCGGCGGCGGAGGCGGAGGAGGAGGAGGAGGAGGAGGAGGAGGAGGAGGAGGAGGAGGGGAGGAGGAGGAGGAGGAGGAGGAGGAGGAGGAGGAGGAGGAAGAAGAAGAAGAGGTAGAGGAAGAGGAATAGGAGGAGGAGGAAGGGGACCTTTTTTCGGGCCGCCTGGCGATTGCTTGGAGGGCTTACTGTTCGTGCCTGCTGGTCTCTCTGCCCCCATCTTTTACTTCCGCACCCTTCATCATTTTCCTTTATTCCTCTTATTCTTCCTCTTCCTAACCTATTTTCTTTTATTCCTTCAGATTCTTCAACATTTTCTTTTATTCTCCTTACTCTCCCCCATTTTTTTTTTATTATTCCCCTTACTCTTCCCCATTTTCCTTAATGCCACACACCCTTCTCTATTTTCACTAACCTTTCTCTTATTTTCTCCTTCTCCTCCTTTTATACTTCCCCAATCCTCACTTATTCCCCCTTGACTAAATCCCGCTACCCCCACCCCCACCCCCTCCCCCACCCATCCACCTCCTTTAGCACAACTGCCATTCCCTTCTTTATTTTCCCCTTCCTTCTCTCCCTTCCTCCATTTTCCTCTTCCCCTTTCTCTTCCCCTTTCTCCCCCCCCACCCCTCCATCCTCAACCGCATCGTAAGGGTGATCTAACACGCTAATTGATTTTTCCAACAGGATTTACTGCGTGGGATCTCCGCTTTCTATAGGGGGAGAGGGGATCCGAGCATGCATAGGCTGTGGTTTCCGATCGCTTTTCACTCTCGAGCCGCCAGCGCTGTCGTCTGACGGGGGTGTGCTGTCTGTCTCTGTCTCTGTGTCTGTCTCTCTTTTCTTCTTTTCTCTTCTCTTCTCTGCTCTCCTGTCCTCTCCTTTCTTCTCTCTCTCTGTGTTCCTCACTGGTTTTGGGTTAGTGTAAGTGTGTGTGTGTGTGTGTGTGTGTGTGTGTGTGTGTGTGTGTGTGTGTGTGTGTGTGTGTGTGTGTGTGTGTGTGTGTATTTATACATACAAACATACTCATGTGTGTGTGTGTGTACATATACATACATGCATACATACATAAATACATACATATATATAATGTACATATACATGTGTATATATATATACATATATATACACGCATACGTACATAAATACATACATACACACACACATACACACACACACACATCTGTATGTGTGTATACATACATACATACACATACACACACACACACACACACACACACACACACACACACACACATATATATATATATATATATATATATATATATATATATATATATATAGTATATGAGGAGACGAGCAGAATATTCCAGACACCCTAACCTAACCAACGCGACCCAACCCACCGCTACAGAACCTCATCCGACTTGACCTGACCCAAGCCAACCAGCCCAATCGCACCCACCATTACACCAGCGAGGGCACAAGCAGGGCACGAGAGTTCACACGTGACCAACTGCTCCTCGGCCTAACTTCACAATTTTACTTTCACTGGAGTTAGTTGCAACCTCGTATCCTCGCTAATGAGGACACAAAATTACAGGTCTTACGAATAGTGATGATGATGATGAGGAGGAGGATGGTGGTGGTAGTGGTGATGGTGATGGTGATGATGGTGATGATGATGATGATGAGGAGGAGGAGGAGGAGGAGGAGGAGGAGGAGGAGAAGGAGAAGGGGCAGGAGGAGAATTATCATTCTTACTGTTATCATTATTATTATTACCAACAGAAATAACAATATCTACACTATCAGTAAGGAGAATGTAGAGAAAGAGAAACAAAATTCTGCCAAAAATATATCTTTCAGAGTCCAGTAACGGTTGTTCATGATGAATCAAAATTGTTTACTTTTTTCTCTTTTCGCGGGTGAAACATCAACTAATTGCATGTGCTTTAAAACCACAAGTCATTTCATCACCAAACTTCTTTCATATTTCCTTTTCTTCTTTTAATTCCAGAAGATTCCCTTCACCCTAAGAAGCAATTAACACGAAGGCACATCACACCACCAACGCAACCCGGATTTATAGCGTCAGAAAAAAAAACCTCCCGCCTTGGATGACAACCTACATATTTCAGGGTTGCGGAACGTCACGATGAAGCCGTCCCGACGTTAATTCCCTACAATTAACCTTTTACCCTGTCATTTAAGCACTGCCAGAGAGGCGTGATGGAGTTTATTTTGTGCCGTTTTTCCCTTGTCGCATGGAGGCCGGTGTGGATCGGCCCGGCTGTGCCTGGGATCAATGGCTGGTCTTCGGGGCGAATGCTGTGACGCTGTCTTTGGGGCGGGGAACATTTTATTCCCTTTTTATTTAGCCCTGTTTTAATTGTGTGTGTTTCGTTTCGTGTTTTGGAGATGGTTGGGTGGTGTCTTTGTGTGTGTGTGTCATTTGTGATTTATAATTCTTACGAGTGGTTGGATTCTGTCGTATAAATTCATATAAGATGGTATGTGGATTTTGTAAACGTGAGTACACACACACACACACACACACACACACACACACACACACACACACACACACACACACACACACACACACACACACACACACACACACACACACACACACACACACACTTCCTGCCTAGATCTACGTGGGTAAATAAACAAACGTTGCAAAGGGCGAGGCAATGCGGCGTGTTGCAGAGAAACAGACCTTCCCTTCCCTGCTTTCAGTCTCCGTTTTATCTTCATCTTCTCTTCTTCAACAATATTTCTTGATTTCCTTCTCTTGATCTATCTTTCGTCTCTTCTCATTCATTTTCCTTTCTTTTCTTCTTCTAAATTTATTGATTCCCTCGACTTACTGTATTCTATGATTCTTATATTTTCTTTTCTCATTCCTCTTGTCTTCTCTTGTCTATATTGCTTATCTTATTTATTCGCTAAGGATTTTTTTCATATATTGATCTTTCTTCATATTTATATATATCCTTATCTATCCTTCCTCCCTTTCTCTTCTTTCTTTCTATCCATCTACTAATCCGTTATTTACCTGTCTATCTCCGTCGCCATCTGAAACCCCATGCTATTTCCATATTAAAAGAAAAAGCAAAACATTTTATCAGTTACAGTCAACAAAAGAAATAAAATAAAATCCCTTTAAGCCAAGCCCAACCCTTAAAAAACGAATTAAGTTGGCTTCTCCAACACAATACAAACTAACTCCTGATTACCCAGCCTTGGATTTGACCCGAAAAGCTTCCCTCGATTGTGAATTTCCCTTCCTTTTTTTTTCTCCGAAATCTCCAAGACATTGTGCATTGTCTGACTGACCTTCACATCTGATAAGGTCCGTGGATAATGGATGATGTTTTGAATGGACCGTTCACAGCCGTCAAGAAGTAGAATAAATTGTAATTTCGCCTTTAAAGAGCAAGGTCGGATGGGTACGGTGAAGATTCCTGTATTTCACATTATTATTATTATTATCATTGTCATTTTTATGGTTATGTGCTTGGAAGTAAAACGATACCCTGTCTATTACACGAATAACAACAGTCTGATGAATTTTTAACTATTCACAAAAATTAGTAGGCTAATATAGTACTTTCTTGGTTAGGTAATATATTTAACAGTACTATCATCCTCATACATACATCTAGATTATTACTGCTTAACTTTGCTTATAACTGTATTTAATTACTTAATTAGTACATATAGGTTTATTAGCGCCTTAATCATTCCCCTCAAAATTAAGATTTTTTAGGAAAAAAAATTACTTTGTACCTTAAACAGATTATTCAAGGTACAAAGTAAATTTTTCTCACGAAATTTATGGGCCTCATTTACCCTAATAACCATATTATTCTCACATGATTACTATACAGGAATGCCTTTATCTTTCGCCATAACAGGTGATGGTCCTGTGTTTAAGGACTAGCCATATATCTCAATTAGTAAACCAGAGTTTCCTATTCACATGAGCTTCGGAAGGACGGCCTACAATTATTTTTTTTCTGTGTTTATTTTATTGTAGATAGCAATGGTGTGTTTCTTCTAAATTTTCGTGAGATGGAAAAAGCCAAAAACAAAATATCTATAAATCATAAGGAATTCACTCATATATCTACACTAGAAAAAAAAACATGAATTCAACAATTTCGAATATGAAAATATCGGAAACATACTTTCAACAACCAGATCACATACTCAATAACAGTCACACGTCCAATGACAAAGTAACAAGATAACAAAATCACGTGAACAAAAACAAAATTTCGCTTCCCACCAAAGAATTCGGTGCATTTCACGCACGTCACACATTTCATAAATCTAAAAAAAAAAATAGCAATAACAATCCAGTGGAAAAAAAAACATTTCCCTGCATTACAAAACTTGAAAGCATCACAGAACTTACCAATTAATGTATAGATTCAAGTCCCCCAAAAATTCACGAGAACACGAGGGAAGGGAAACCGAGCCAGCAAAACGCCAAAGACACACGAGCGAACACGTCCTTCCTCAACCACTG